TATGTAAAAGATACTGAAGGAGTCCAATTCGTTCATTAGTTCGCTTTTTTTTTTTAGTTTGCGCAGTCAACACCAGATGGTATTGGCTGCGGCCGCGTGCTGGAGTGTTTCTAGATGGAGTGGTCGTAAGTATAGAGTTGGTCGTGGTTCGGCCATTGCGGCAGTTCTGCTGACTGGGGAGGAACACTTCTGACAGCATGTATTGTGCCAGGTAGACAAAAATCAAGAGGACACTTTGCTTCAGAACGCTTATGTGCCGGCCGTGCGCTTCCATTACGTTTGTTTCCTCGTCTTCGTTTAGCTTGTGGGCGCTCAGCTAGCTTTACAGCCGATACAAGCTGAACGAAGATAGCGCTCTTTTCTTCTCGTGAGATCTTTTGGCAAATTGACATACGATGCCCATCTCTCAAACCTTAAATGAATAGTAATAGCATATTCTATGAACTGACGTTTGCCAGACTTCGCAGTAGCGAACTAAAGAACTTCCGAACCGAAACCATACCAGTGATCTGTTGGGAACAGCATTAGAGAAACATTTGGCGTCTTATTAGAATTACCGCACAATCTCGCAGAGCAGTACCTTCCAGGCATAATTCACACTTCGTCTGTGACCAGACGCGCTACTGCGATTTTCTTCACACAAAACAAAACTAGCTGACCGACACTGCCGACCGTCTCGGCCGTCACCGCCGTCACCGCACAACCAGCAGAACTCCGGCGAGTCCGGCGCATCCGAAACCGACGATTCATTGCTCCCGTAATGCTTTACCCTTGCTTCACAGTAAAGAAAAGGTAACAACACGCCACGTTTTGCGGCGGCCACTTTGTAGGGGTATTTACATATGCACGACGGTGCCGGCCTCTACGACATTTCACCGAACGCCGGAAGCTGCGTTCGCCTGACCACACCGCCAAAAAGACGAGCACGCTACGCCGCCGACACCGTGGCCGCCGAGGAGGGACCTCATACCTCAGCGCCCTCCGCGGCGGCGTGAAACTAACTACTCCTGGTTCGAGGCTAGCTTCGAACACGATCTGGTCGCTCGCTCCCCCGCAGGAAGAGCGGCCAGAGTCATCACCTAAATGTGTTTCTTCCACCGTCTGCCTGGAGAAGGAGAAAAACATCTCGTTCCTTTCTTCTTCTTGTGTCCGTTTGGGGGCAGGTCAGTCGAAGGGAGGAAGACACGCCGTCGCTACCTTCCCCCCTCTTTTTTTTTTTTCTTGTTGCTTTTTTAGAGTGTGAAGTATATCTGAAAACACAAGCCGAAGAACACTGCCCGGCAACTTTCGGCACCGCGCTACACTTTCCTGCGCCGGTGCAGGCTGGTGCAGGTACATATGTTCTAGTTCACTGTAGGCAGGTAAATCGAATAAGCCGAGTAATTGAGGCCATTGGCCCCACGTGAATGACGAAATCACACATCTTTTTCGTCGCAGCACGGGTGACGATGAAACCTCGTCTGTCAACTACAAACTCCCAAAACGTCGTCCCAGAAAGAGAAACAGAAAGAGTGTAATAAACCGAGGAAAAAGAAGTGTTGTATGGTGTTTGGCGGAGTCGCTCTGCAGTGTTCCGCCAGTTAACCTGCCTTCAGGACGTGGACTGAGTTTCTGCAGGCAGGTCGAACAGGTATGCATCAGCACCATAGCGGCGACCACGTCCAGTTCAACGCAGGTAAACCGGGAATCTCGGTAAATGGCCTCCTAATTTACGACGTATGGCCTTGCGTGCCCGCGACCTCGCTTATCGACAAATGCGAGGAATTTGAAAATTATAGTTGCGCCTCACGGTGTACTGGTAACTTTAAAGTATTGGCTTGATGAGAAGGGAGATCGATGCTCCTATTGCCACGTGACCGCGGTGAAAAAATGGACGCATTGCTGCCAGTGGCCACCTCGTGATCCACTGCGGCACAATAACGCTCGCCCTTTTCACTGGATAAGCTGGCTAAAGCATGCCAAGAATCGTTGTTTTCGCAACGCTTTGCACCCTTATTGGTTTTGTTTGACGTGTGTTACCGCTAGCGTTCGCTCTACCGCGGTACACCTACTCCTCGCAAATGGTCGGTCACTGGCGGCTCAAAAAAGGGCAGGGCATGTTAGGCCCACGCTTCTTGCATCTTGAATTGCTCTCGGCGCTGGTGCCGCAATTTGATTTGCTGTGGAGAACGCCGTGTGTTTTTTTAAGCTGTCAGTGAACATAGTAGAGGAACTGCTGATGCCGCGGATCATGCAAAGGCACGCAGCAGCGTTTGACTAAATTTGACTACATTGTGGAGACTTACGTCAACGTATACTCTTAGAAAAAAAGAAACAAAAAGCTCTATATATTCCTCTATAAAGGGAGGAACGATTTTGTGCTCTATGTTCCTTTAGAAACGGAGCGACATTCGTTTCTGCGAACGTAAAAGCAAAGTTCCTTTCTGGTCTGCACAGCAATATGGCGGCTCAGAATGGAGTAAATTTAGCACAGTAAAGCTTAAAGGAGCGGTGCAACGACATTCAGTTGGAATGTTTTTCACTTTACACGAGCTTACTGGCACTAGTGGGACTCAAGGATACTCGCACGCAACGCCACTGGCCAAGAAACTCCTTTGTTGCGGTGTAATTTCAAGGACAAAATCGATCATTTTCATTCAATCTCTCCTTCGCAAAATTTGATGACGTAACGTGGGAATTGAAGTACTCCCAAGTGACGATATTTGAATGCGATTCATAAATTGGACCCGAGCATTGCGTGGCCACTTGATTTGGGCTCGTAATAATTACTAGCTCGAGAAGCATTCGGGTAGTGGCCCGTGTCCAATCGCTGCAACGACGACAGTGAGCCGAGCCTTAACAATGTCTGGAACTCAGCGCATGTCCTGTGCTTTGCCAACCCCAGCGCGTGGCTATGATCAACATTAGCGGCATATAATCGGCTCCAGATCACGTGGCCGCTTGTTCTGGCTGCGAGTTGAGGGGGTGAACGCTGCTCGTTTTTCTTTAATATTTTTCATGACTTTATTGCGTGGGGTGAAAAACGAACGCGTGTTTCATAGGTCATTAACGTCAGGGATCCGTTTTAAGGGGTATTTGCGCCAAGTACAAAAATTGTTGCATTGCTCGTTTTGCCCTGTTTTTACGCAGAACGCTGCCGTGGTTCGAGCGAAAAAAGCTGGCATAGTTTTTGGACAGAGATATTCGTGATTGGTGCGGAGCGGGGTGACGTCTCCACGCAGCATACGGAACCCTTATCTCTCGATGACTGCCAACGTTACGTAGTTACGGGCAGTCAGATGCGACTGTGTGCACGTGCCCTTATACATTGCACGCCATGTAAAAAAAAATGCGGTTGGTGTAACATGTTTGGAGTTGTATAACTTCGACGGTGCCCTTTGTAACCACCACTGCTGACGGGCTGGTGAGAAGGTGATATCTCGACCTTTTTACCTACCGATCTTTTTTCTATATTTTTTTGTTTTGAAGTGTAATCACTGTGACATCTCTCGATGCAGGCGCGTAGCTTTGTCTAGTTGGGTGATACCATTTTACAACGCAGCGTTCATTGAGATGTTGACTTCGTCACACGCCGGTGGTGCTTTATGCAAAATTTTTACACATCTGACAGTCATCTAGCACCGTGAAGAGAATTGATATCCATGCTTGCGGAATGTCGCAACGTGAAAGCTGTGAAGGTGGTGAAAGACAAGATCTTTGAATTTGTGCCATCTCTTTTTTTTTTTTTATGCTAGCGATTGTGTTAAGTGTCCACGTATAGCAGTGACGAGTGTCTGTTTTTTACGAAAATTGTTTTTGTATTTGTCTGGGCTTACGTACTCAGACGCGCTCTATTTATCACCCATCTTCAGGGAACACATTGAGAGTGTCCGCGAAAGAACTGCACAATTTCAAATGTTTTCTACAGTAATGCTGGGAAGGGGCACTAGCCCTTCCCGGCATTACAATGTCTAAAAACTGTATTAAACCAATATGCTTTGCGTCCTATATAGCATCGAACTGTCTAAAAAAAAATAACTACAGGAGCCAACGGATAATGGCATACAACTTACAGCGATCCTAGTGGTTTAGTTTATGAAGCACAAACGAAGACGACGAAGAGTCTTCTTCGTCAGTGTCACTTTGGTCGCGGAGTTCCTGGCCTTAGCTGACAGAGTTGAGGTTGACTGGCCGTTTGCTGCACATTAAACCCCAGCCCAGAATCAGGCGTCTGACGTTCTTATCTCCGCTGCTATAAGATCAACAAGATCGCTGTGAATCGCAGGAACACATTACAATGTCTTTACGCCGCCAGGCGCAAACCAATAAGGAAAAAACTAAAGAAGCGGTGAAAGCGTGCCAGTCGAAGATGCACTCCAGGAATACTGTACACTGACGAAGTATACACTTTTCCAGCCCTTACCAATCTGGCAATAAATGCCGAGTCACTCGGCTGTGCACCCGCGCGCGGCGTTCAATATTCACCAGAACAGAGCTAGTGCGCATGGTAAGAACGCGATAACAGCCCAGGAGACAAACACGGCGGCGAGCGGAAGTCGATTATTGGAATGATCTCTAGAGGCTGCATAAACGTTTACGTTGTCGGAGCCTTGGTTGTCCTCAAGCGTCCACCGGCAAATCGTCTGTCCTAGAAGAAGGAGGCCTGCGCTTGACGTCATTATACTAGAGGATCCCCTATCCGCGCTGAAAACAGGCTGCAGCTCATCGAGAGCCCTCGCAAAGCGGCAGACGCGTCCGCCTTGGCGATGCCACGAGCAAACTAGCGCTCCGCTGCTAAGATCCGCTGTCGACGATGTTGATGCAACATAGGCGGCGCTGCGTGTATCCACCAGTGATGCCGTTTCGGGTGCAAATGCGCAGGCCTCTTCTTTTCTAGGTGTTATTGCATGGTCTCGCGGTTGAGGTTTGACGACGCACGCAGGTTCCGCTGATTTGAATCCGAGGACGTCCGGCCGAGCGGCGGTCTTCGGCTCCTGGGCTGCACAGGATTCTCGGAGGAGATGAGTACGCAATCGATGAAGGCGTACTACAGCTCCGCCCTGGTGGCCGAGCAGCGCAAGCGGTACATGCGCACGCCCGCCGAGCGTCTCCTCATGGCCTGGGTCTTCTGCTGGATGATGCTGGCCCTCGTGGCCACCTGCGTCATGCTGTACCTGCTCATCATCTTGTACAGGAGGCCCGCGCTCAGCAGCGACAACTTCTCCATGCTTGAAATGAACAAGAAACTGACTCGCGAGACCTACCACTCCAAGGACCCCGTGACCCAGGCGCTCTTGAAGCGGATCACCGCCAAGGATATCAACACGACCCTCGAGTGAGTGGGAACGAAAGCGGTTTCAGCTTGCGAGCGAGGGCGCTGGCCGGCTGTGAGCACTGCACGGGCGCAGGGCCGGATTATCGCAAAGCGTATCTGCGCATGCCGCCGTCTCCTTGTCGGCGTCGCTGCCTTCAAGTTGCCTTCATGCGACGTTGGGGACACGAGTCGGTGCATTGACCATTTTCTGCCCGCGTTTTCGTGTTTACGTCACGATCAGTGTCACATTCCAAACTGTCTTTTTAGGTCTATAGGTATTTCCAGCGTCGTCATTCGCCGATCTCCCTGCGTAAATTGCAGCGCGATCGGCTCTCCGAGGTGCTTTAGGGGAAAGTTTAGACTCACTGGGTTTCTGGAGTGTTCGAGCTCCGACAGGCAAGGCTTTTGAGTCTAAATCTGTACAGTCACTGACTGCATAAGAAACGCAGGGCGGTGGCGCAAGCATCTAATTATTTCCCTGTGGCCCATGATGATTGTCGAATTAGCTTACAAGAACGCTGAGGAACGAATCACAAAGCAAGAAGCGTGAACAGAAGAATTAAGTCACCCCTTGCATTTCTTAAGCTGTCGGTGGCTGTACAACCTATTCTAGGTACTACAGGGATTGTCGATATAATCAAGCGGCGGTTTGAGTGGTTAGGCGTTGCTAAAATGGTTGCGTTTACCGTTAGGATCACTTAAGAACGAGCCGGAAATTAAGAATACTGAGTAATTGTGATCACACAGCAAGACGAAAAAGACTTATCCTTTTAGCCACCGAGTGAGTTTCCTGTCGTTCCTCTCTCGTTGGTTGAACTGGCTATAGAAATACCGGTGGATGGTGCTCCGAGTCAATTTACGGGCAGTAAGAGCGATCGATGTTGACGCGGGTGACCTCCCGCAGAATTCTGATCAAGACGCCGAGCGGGGGATACCCGCTGGCAGAGGGCGTGCTGAAATACTGGAAAAGCCACGGCATGGAAGAGACCAAGATAGTCAAATACCAGGCTCTCATGAGCATTCCGGACGAAACGCAACCAAACAAGGTGAGGAGAGCGCTCAGTGAAAATTCCGCCCTCCGCGTCCTCCGTCAATCGGCAGTTCTAGACAAAATAAATACCGAAAGATTCGAGCGCGAGGGGAACAGTCTCAACCAGGTGGAATGCAACGAGGATTTTATGTGAGCGTGTTATTTGCGGTCGATAAGAAAGAACGAGTAGCCGCTTATCGTCTGGCACTATCCCCAACTTTCTTGGACATCAACGCCTCGGCATGTGCACCGAAATAAGAATTTCGACTAAACAACAACAAATATCGCAACGTGCAGCGGGGATATCTTCATGACCGTCATAAAGTATAATTAAGCAGTAACTGAACTTTTGAACGGGTATAGTTTTTAGAGCGCAGCTCTTAGGCGCCCGTTTCCGGCTTGAGCGGCGTCGCCGTCGCTGTCGCCGTCGCCGTTGGCGTAACGGCGCGGTGCATTATTGGTAAATTTTCCCGCTAAATTTAGCGGAAAAATTTCCCTGCTAAATTTAGTGGAAAAATTTCCCCGCTAAATTTAGCGGAAAAATTTCTCTGCTAAATCTAGCGGAAAAATTTCCCCGCTCACCTTAGCGGAAAGATTTCCCGCTAAATCTAGCGGAAATTTTTCAAGCTGAATCTGGCGGAAAAGTTTCCCCGCTAAATCTAGCGGAAAAATTTCTCTGGGGGCTCAGGTGACCCCCCCCCCCCCCCCCCCCGAGGTCACGTGACCCTCAGTACCCCTCCCTCCTCCTCCTCAAGAGCTGCGCTCTAATTCGCCGTTACAGGGAGTCGTAAACGGCTTTCATTTTTATTTCACGGCTTTACAAATATTTTTGTAATGAATCCCATGGGCCCGATTCACAAAATTATTAATTTCTGGTTTTCATGACAAAAGACTGTAATGTTCCCGAGGGCTGTGATTACTGGGCATCATGAACGCAAATCAATTGGAATTTTGATATTTTTCTTGAAATCTTTTTATTCCACTGAATGTCCCAGAAAGTTGGAACTGCAATGTTAATGGTGTCAAAAGCACGTTGCGGAAACGTTATGGATATAGATTGATGTCAGTTCGCGTTAAGAATATGCCACGTTAGAATAAACAAACACAGCAGCGAGCAGCCTTGCATAATTTCAGTGTCCATAAATTCACAACCAAGCGCACAGGTGTTCTTGCCTTGGAAGGCGAGCGAATCACTCGCCACGAGCAACATTGCAGACCGAAAAAGTTTCAATATGGAAGTCTATACGTTCTTGTCCCAGTAGAACTGATATGCTTCAATGTGGCAAAACTTCCTCCTTCGTTGCCGTCGTCAAGCTGTGATCCTCCAGACCATCATCATCATCATCCGAGGAACGGGGGCGTTGTCCCTTTCCGTGGCGCAGGTGGAGCTGTTCGTGAACGGCGAGTTGAAGGTGTCCGCTGCAAACACTGAGGTGCCCGTGACCGGCGTGAACAGGGCGCCTCTTCCCAGCTTCTTGTCCTTTTCCCCGACGGCCGACGTGACCGTGAGCCTCCTCTCTACATGAATGCACACGAAAGCGCTCGTCAAGAAGCGCTCAGGATACTTGTAAGAGACGGACACGTAGAAGGAGACACGGACAGGTACTTATCATTGTCCCCTCCCTCGTGTTCTTCTTTGTTTCGGCCCACAAGCCTCCTGAACATCGTGCACCAGCTAGTCCCACAACAAGTCTCGTAAGATAGGGGCGTTTGCCTACGGAGATCTGATGTCGGGGCATGACGCGATCTCCGTTTTGCATCTCTCATGAACAATGTATGCGCTGTCATCTGCTTCCGAAATCCTGGACCATAACTTATTCGGCGCCGCAAAGACGTCACATGGAAAAAAAGAACAGCTCCTAAAAAAAAGTGATTAGTATATGCTCTTAAATATCCACATTTTATTTTACCAAGATGTTTTTGGAACGGTTAGTAATGTTTAAATATTATTGATGTTGTACAAAATAGTGAAACAATCAAACGTTTAAAAACGCGCCTTGTTCGTCTACCTTCTTGTTCTTGTCCATGTCCTTGCGCTGTTTTAATTTTTAATCATGAAATACCAACTAGCCCAAACTTCCACGTTAGTCAATCAAATGTTCTCCTTCTTGAAGGAAAATCTCAATTGTAATCTCTGTAGTATACCGTAAAAAAAAAAAAAAAAAAAAAAAAGAAAAAATTGTGGAAAGCATTTTTGCATTTTTTACTCCTCAGTCACATGGCTCGCACATATGCCATAAATAATACGCTGAGAGCCGGCAGAAATTGTAAAGGAGCGAAAGTACGCAGACGAGCTGGTTAGAAAAGATCTTAATCTAAACCCTGAGACGAGGAGAAATTAAACGAGACAACACGTCTCGTCCGTTATTTTATTTATCCTCGTCTGACTGTTCAAATTATGATATAAGAAAGGTACCCTCTCTGCAAAAACATTTAATTTCAAAAGCGATAAACAGACTATTTACAAAACTACGAGTGTGTAAATGCTGTGACTAACCTAAAAGTAGTCATGGTTTCCACAGTAAATCTTAAAGAATTTCCAAAACAATCTTCCACCGTTAAACCTAAGAAAACAACCATAAAGAATTTTGTATAAGTGATATAATGTAGCACACGTTCATTTCAAGAATGCGTAAACGTGCATTATTATTGAAAATTTAAAGAAAAAAAATAAATTACTTACTACGATTCTCAAAGCAGTCGAAATGTCACCTAAAGGCCGCGGGGCAGAGTCTCGATGTAGTCATGATTGCCAGAGTCAAAGCTTAAAGGATGTTTCCAGTAAATGTACGCCTTTAAACGTAAAGCCCCAAAAAACTTCATATACGCTATATAAAAAAAAAGACTTACTAAATTAGGAAAGTGTAGAAAAGTCAACCGCTTCAAGTCGCGAACATTAAGAGAAAAATAAAAGAAAATAGCAGAGCTGAAAATGAGCGTCACCGTAGTACAGCTACTTCATTCAATATATTAATATATTCTGCGTTATTTTCGTTATTTATGCAGGCACCCGTTGTCTACGTGAACTACGCCAGGACTTATGACTTTGAGCAACTGGAGGAACGTCAAATATCGGTCAGGGGCAAAGTAGTAATCGCTCGAACGGGACAGATAACCAAGGGTTTCAAGGTAAGTCACTCCTCGTTAGTTTTTTTTTTTTTTCATTGTTTGGCAATAATTGTTGCCTGCCGTTCAGAAGGAATTAGTCAGAAGAAGATTGGGAAGTCTTCGGTGCAAAACCTACAAGCAGTCCGGCGCTGTCATACTACACTCTCGGAAGGCACCCGCTTGTATCCCACACAAGTACGAAACTGAAGGGGACGAGGGCACGAGAACAGGCGAGGATGTCAGAACGTGAAAGCTCTGGTCTAAATGACTTTTGGGTAGACGCAAAACCCTAGCTTGCTTTGTCTCTATACTCACTGCTCGTAAGCAAACACCAAGCGCCGGTCGCCGGTTTTCGGCGTTCGAAGAAATTCGATCAGCGGGCAGAGGCAAACTCAGGTAGCTTTCGCGTCAACCCACGAATCATTTCAACCAGAGCTCGGTATTCTGAGGTCCCCGCGCTCTCTCATCTTCTCCTCTCTTTCTCTCTTAATTTCCTATATTATGATCTAAGTAAGATCTTTCACGTCACCAAATACCACTACTTGCGCAATAGTGATTACACGACCGTACGCCGGTCAGAAATGCCTATTCGTGTCGAAACCAGCAGGGCGATAGCATAATGAAATCATAGAAATGTTATAATGCACGCTGTAGGTTCGACTGACGCTAGTGTGCTGCGGAAAATTGAAGCAGACGCCAACCAGTCGAAAATTAACTTCCGGTAATTTATATCGATGGGGAAAAGCAAGTGCATTTTCTCCCTGCGCTGGATTATAGGAGCAAATATTGTCACGGGTGGTGACCGAAATAAAAGGAAATAAACAGGAAGAAATAAACGTTTAATGTGGCGAACTTGTGCCAAAAATAAAATAGTATAAAGATAATAACAGAGCGTCGCGGGCGTCGAAGTCGGCGTAGCAGCACAGTCGAACGTTGGGGCGAAAACTGACTCGACAAGGTCGCGGGCGGCCTCTTATCTAGAGTGCGTCGCTATCTCGAAGATTCGGCGAAAGCGGTTCGAGCGTCGCGTGATCGGGGCGAGAATGAACACGCACTTTCTAGAAAACAAAAGCAGGGATAAATGATAGAAGTTACGTGCGGTACATGAATAAACGGGAACTTTCTGGAGGACCGTGACCGAGCGTTGCTTTCTCAGCCTTGCGCGCGGCAATATCACGAACAATTCGCATGTATACTAGGTAGATGGGAACGTTTGTGAGTCACGCAGGCGAAATGTTTGGTCATTTATGGCGTTTTTATTTTAAATTCGTGGCATGAAAAACGGTGCCATAACCGCTTCGTATACTTGTATTCATGTGCACTGTCGGACACTGTTAGCGCGAACACGGTGTCAGCAGCTCCTTGTGCATGCAGACGTAGCATAGTTAAATTTACAATAAATAAGTACTGCTTTATTCTTTCTGCTCATGATTATGTGCGAAGATACATCGTTCAGAACATCACCCGCACGCTCGAAATCGTTGATAAAAAGAATCCAGAGAACATGTGCTCCATAGAAGTTGACCGACATAGGAATTAATAAAAAGATCCACCTTTAATAACCCACGTACTTTATTCTTTACGTATCAACTGTTTTTTTTTTTAACCGCTCGTAAAGATGCACGACAGAGTCATTTTCATATAGTGACAGGGCGGGCATATTAGCAACATATAAGCGTCCCCGGAATGCTGGCGAACCTTGAACACACTCTACATTCCTTTCGAGTGTTATTGTGCCTAGAATCGTTACTCGTTTTTACTTAACCTGCCACGGAACGGAGGTTTGGACCTGAAATATAGCGAAGTTTAACATCGTTCAGTGGTAAATAAAAATCTTGTAACTAGAGCAATTACACTTTTACAATGTCAATAAAGGTACATACTATTCAGTATGACGAAAATAACAAAAGTGATATGTGTTACTTTTCAGTCGAAGAGACAAAATGCACGCGCGTTTTTCCATAGGAATGCGCAGGAGCACCGCAAAGGTAGACTGGTTGCTGTCTGCTTCAATTTGCCTCCCGCAAGTCGCATAGACGCCAGTTGAACCTCTAGCGTAGATTATAATAACCCTTTGAACGAATATTATCGCGGTTTAATGACGCAATTAAAACGTGCCGTCTTACTGACATGAACAAACGCGCTTGTAAACTGTCTGGTTTGCCCCCCCCCCCCCCCCCGCCCCCCCCGCACGCACACACACACACACTCAAAAACAACTTGGTACGCCACTGGCGCTGGTCGCGATGCCATTCGTGTCGCTGTGTTGTGACGACGTCAGCCTGGAGCGCCGAGAACTATATTTCGTCTCTATAGTCACAGACAACTAAAGAAACGATGGGCGTGGCCTTGTTTTCAGCGAATGCCACAATCTCGTTGGCTGAGTGCAAAGCTATATTAAGATACCCGCAACGCCTTGCGTTTCTTAAATAAGCTCTCAGCGTGACCATACCTGGTGTTCGTTTAGTGCCTGAAATTAAGCGTTCGTAGGAGATAGCTATGGACGTTCGCAAGTATACGTTCTCTGCATGGGCGCCGCCATCTTGCTCCTGCTGGTGTGGATAGATCGTCCGATAGTCGAGCAGCGCCGAGGCGTATACCCACGGCCTACGCAATGCTTCACTAGCAGACGATCTACCCACACCTGTAGTACAAGATGGCGGCGCCCAGAGGCATAGCCGTGTACTTGCAAACTTCCATATTTCGTTTCGCGCTGCGTTGAATCCGACCGCGTGCCAAAGCCGCGATCCGATGGAGCTAATCGGGCAACCCCGAAAGTGCATCATCATGCCGCTCGTTGTCTTTTATGGCGTGTGCCGTCACCGGTTAAACCGCCGTGATCCTGGGTTTTTTTTTGTTTTTTGTTCATTTGGACTGATGTTGGCTTCGTCTACAACGTTCCCGAGATGGGTAATTAGAAAGAAAAGCCTCGGTGGGGCGTGCCGTACCGTGTGCCTGCGCGCATCCACCCAGAATAGCAGCGCTGAACGTTTCAGAGCGCAGCACTTTGGCGCCCGTTCCCGGGTTTTGCGCGTCGGCGTCGGCGTAACCGCACTAAATTTAGCACAAATAGTGACGTTACGTGACCTCAATACCAATTCAATCCCTTGCTAAGCTTAGCGGGGAATTGAAATGGTGTTGAGGTCACGTAATGTCAACTTTCCCGCTAAATCTCGCGGAGAAAGTAAATTTGTTCATAGGTGACGTGCCACCAAGTCATCTGACGTCATTTTACCCGCTAAATTTAGCGGGAAACTGACTTGGAGGAGGTGCACAGAGGAGGGGATGGAAGAGGAAGAGGAGAGAGTACAGAGGAGGAGGCGAGGCATACCCTCCCCTCCGTACCCTTACCTCCTCTCCTCCTCCAGAGCTGCGCTCTAATTTCACAATACAAAGATTTGTAAACGTCTTTCATTTTTTTAAGAACTAATTTTTGGCAGCGTCGTGTCAAAGAGTGGTGCACAAAGAACTTTTAGCGCCACTTAACAACATTCGCGTATCAGAAAAACTCGCCGCTCGACAACGCGTTGTGGGAGCAATGACGGCACGATCGAAGCTCGCGTAAGGATCGATGAACCGATGTCACTCGTTTGCACATACGCAGTTTCACAAGCTCTCGTGAGAACCTGGGCTCTCTATTATCACTGTCTTGTTCTATAGACCCCTTCCGTAGACGTAAGAAGGCTTAACTGCGTAGGTGAAGAATGCCGAGCGGGCGGGCGCAGCGGGCGTGGTCTTGTTTCTGGACCGTGTGGAGAACGGACCCCAGGACCTGTACAAGGCGTTCCCGGACTCCGTGTACGTCAGCGGGAGCGCCATCCAGCGGGGCACCGTCAGCTACTACAGGGGGGACCCGCTCACCCCGGGATACCCTGGAGTCGGCGAGTTGGCATTCTTCTCCCGAAGGCCGGTCCAAACCAACCCGGTCTGCGGTTAGCGGGTCACGGAAACCGAAGTCTTTGCGCCTGCTGCGGGAGTAAATTGTGCTGTTTGTTCTGTTTGGACTATTTGCAGACTGTTTGGGGCAGGTGATCACTATTTTTTTTTTTTTGTCTTTCTCCCTCGCCCGCGACGCGACACAAAAGGAGATCGCAGCTTTCGGGCACTTGTGGAGTGACTTGCCGTAGTGGGTCCCCGAAAGCGGAAAAATATTCAACGCCGAATTCGGCTAGCGGAAGCCACAAAACATCACCGATTTCGTCACACGACTCACAAGAACGTCGCTGTTAACGGGACCTGCTACACTCGATCCGGTTTGGTTTGGACCGCGTTTAAAGGGACAATGAAGGCGATTTTATTTATTTTTTTAAATGGTGTTTTTGGGCTTCTTGGGAACCCAGCACGCTGCGTAATTTTTTGTAGACATTTGTGAAGCGTATTTCTGTGCCTACGAAAGAACTGAAGAAACCGAAACTGAACTATCTCCATTCTCATTTCTGGGCCTCCGTAAATGGAGGTGACGTAGGGAGTGACGTCAAATGTGAATGGTCGGTATCGGTAGTATTTGGGATATCGAGGGTCTGGTTACCGCGTTGGATTATAGCAGCGCGGTGGCGCGGTTGTTTCGTCGTATCTGCCAACATGGACAACATGGACGACAATGCCACTCTCGCGAGCGAGTTTGAGCTTCCGTTCAGTGACCTAACACCAACGGAAAGGGAGTACGTGTGTGGCGGCCTCCGCCATCACCCGACGGAGACCGTCTAGCCGGCGACGAGCGGCCCGCAGGCTCCGAAGCAGTGAGCAGCACTCGCGCGGGCGAGACGAGAGCGGCGCGTTGCCGAAGGACAGGGACGCGGGGGAGATGCCGAGGGGAAGGCGGCAGCCACCAAGCCGTTCCGGGAACCGGTTCCTCCGCGGGGGACGCTCCCCAAGAAGGAGAACATAAACAGCGCCATTTTTGGTTTTCACCAAAGTCGAACGTCCTCTCTTTTCGTCGTCAAAGACCATGAATAGCAACCCACACGTGAAAACTAGCGTCGCCCGAACGAATACTTATCTTCAGTCTACCCTTAGAACAGCCATCTACAGCGCAGAAATTTGGCATGACAACCATTTCGCAGATTCCTTCGACTACCGTGTTCCCAAAGTAAACACGACACCGACATCTGAAACCAAAAGCAAAAGCCTCACGCGTGTTCTTTTTTTTTTTTTTTTTTTTTTCGTTTGCCCAGCTTGTTGCCCGTTTCGCCTCCAGCGTAGCAAAGAGAAAAACAATTATGCTGTTTTATTTACGGTTTAGTCATTATTTTCGGTCCGATTTATACCTTTCATGGTTATTCAAGCGGAAATTAAAGCAGTTTTCCTAAAAATCGCGAACCAAAACGTGACCGAGGGTACATCACTCGTTTCGACCAATCGCTGACGCGTCTCTTGTGACGTCGCGCTTCTTAACCCCGCAACGGTCACGTGAACTCCGCTTCTCCTGGCTTCTCCCGCAACTCCCGGGGCGTCGCCCCAGTCGATCCCGGTACGACTATTGCCGTGACTGTTTAATTCATTTGCGCGGCACACAAGCGCCGGTTTCGGCTGAAATTTGGGCAACGTGTCCTGAGACGTGCCTAGAACCCAGTTCAATCGCCAAAAAAAAATCCTAAATTTCCCTTATTGTGCCTCTAAAGGCTAGTTCAGACACTTGCGTGTGCTTATGTTCGGGGAGGCTAATAACCGGTTTTAGCCAACCCGGTTGTAAGAGGTCGCAGGTGTGTAAACCAGCCTTCAGCGTTCGCGCCGAAGGCACAGGGACCCCAAAAAGGGCCAACACTGGTCAATGAATCCGGGAAAGTGGTGCCTCAGACCAGATTTTGAAATGACGGTGATCGACCCGACAAGCGCGTCGACGTAAACTACTTTTTTCTTTTTCTTTTTTGCTTCTCGAAAAGTTGGGGCGCCAAGCTGTTGAAGCGTACAACATACTAAAAAAATATTGTAATGTAAAGTAGTGTACCATCTGTGCACTTTAAGACTAATCAGTATTATTCAACCTTTAATCAGTTCAACCGATGAGGTGGGCGATCAGTGTCGTAGCCATGTGGCTATTTGGGTCTTAGTGACAAAGGGGATGGACATGTTTTTGCCACTGAGACTATACTATCGACTAGTCACGATACCGCTTCCTTGGCAATGAACACACTAAAAGGCAGGCAGCGAATAGTGGTGTTCCTAGCGCATTAAGGGGAAATGCTAGCACTTTCATGCGAATAGAGGAAGCGCTGTCACTCTACCAAAGTGTCCTTTTCGTTCGTCATTTTCGTAAGCAGAAACGTGGGCAGTGAATTCGGCCATCACAACTATTCTGAGCGATCTATTATATGCAAGAAATTAAAATCGCCATACCAGGCATATTGCAACATCTCATCTAAGAAAAAAAAAAGCAACGCTTTTTGTTAAGACCTATACACACGGAAGCGTTTGAGGGCGTTTCAGTGCGTTTGACAGCGTTGCGGCTGGGAGAAACCGGGGCATCCCTGTTTCTTATGACGCGTGCCAAGCTATTCCTTGAATTGGATTCCACGCTTCATACGAAGCGCAGATGTGCCGATGACTCGCTTTCATTTCTCGGCGCAACGCAGTCAGACCAACTCCTGGTAGTGTTTAGTCAAACGCTCTCAAACGCAACTGTGCGCAGAGACCTTAAAGGGGCACTGACACCCCAAAGGTCGTATTTATTTTTATTGTCTAAAACGATGCAAGTTGCAGTCATAGACACGCAAAAAAAACCGCATCGCGAAAAAAAATTTTCCCGCGCGCGCGCGCGCCTTTTTATTTTTGGCGTTTGATTTTGCCGCCTCTCGCCTCCTCGCTTCTTTTGATCGGTGACGTCAAGAATCATGAAATTTAGAAGCTTTGTAGGCGACATCTCTATAACATTTAATTACGGCAATCCTAAAACATGTTTTTTAAGGCAATTGCGAACGCACTACGGCCCTTCTTTTTGAAATACCAAAAATCGGGAGTTCGTTGTGGTGCCGTCTCCTGGATTTGTATCCTCCAACGGAAAACAGGCGACACCGCTCAAAACCGGTCCGCCGCAACGCCGGGCGCTCGCTCCTTTCCTCCTCGCTTTGGGTCGCCATGGCAACAGCAGGGAGTGGTGAAAGGAAGTCGACTCCCTGGTCTCCGCAATTTTTGACGTCAAGGCACCGGCGCCGATCGCGCGGGAACTTCGATTTCGGCATTTGGAAATTGTTTTTTTACTTCACAAATACTGAATTCCCAAATTTCAAATTTTGAGGGTAATGTCCCGGCATCGTTTTCAATCGTTTCGGATAATAAAAAAAAAAATATATGATTTTGATGTGTCAGTGCCCCTTTAAAGATCGTCAGCTCCAACAAAACCGGTTTTTACCCCGTTTTGTTGGAGCCGACGCAGTTGTTGCCATAGGAACCCTCGCAGTCGGTCGGAGTCAACGCAAGTGTGTGAATCGCCCTTTAGAATGTGAAGCGGTTTTTCACGCGGACTAAGCACTTTGCTGAGTATCCAGAACACAGTGTGCCGCAGATCCTCACGCATTGGATAGGGCAACTTTTTTTTTTCTCCCAAAGAAATTAGAGCTATATGATCTATGGTGACGGCCCGTCTTGATAGTAACTAATAAACGGATATAGGGCCGTCAGTGTTTCCTTCCCTATCTTTGTTCGGTCAAATATCACATTCGCCTCTTTCCATCTTGCAGACGGCATTCACAGGATTCCTCTTCGTGACGCCAACATTCCCGTGATCCCCTGCCAGCCAATCGGCTACGACGACGCCACCGTAATCCTCAAGTGCGTTCAGCAGACACGTTTCTTTATTCACAAACTCAGTCTTATTTTCTGAATAAAAGATACACTGAGTCTGTGCCCAAAGAAACGAAAAGTTTAAGGAACGCAGGGCATGAGTTTGGTTCACGTATCTACTTCGTGACTCGTTTTCTGACGATTCTTACGGTTAATCCCACAATCTCATTGCCTGAGAAGTGATATTAAGACGTATGGGATATCTGTGTGTGCGCGCGTGTGAGTACGTATGCCTGTTTGTGTGCATGCGCGAGTGCGTGCGTGCGTGCACATGTGCGTGCATGTGCGCGTGTGCATGCACGCACATGTGCGCGTGCGTGTGTGCCTTTACGTGCCCGTGCATGTTTGTACTTGAGCGCGTGTGCGTGTGTGTGTGTATGTGCGTGTGTGCGTGCAGGTATCTTATGTGTCCATACAGGTATCTTGTTGCCCTCATCCTTTCCGTTTCCAGCCTCACCGTCGAAGAGCTTAGGAAAGTAATACCAGTTTTCCTTTCTTTGTTTCTGCGTGTCCCAGGGCGCTGACAGAGCACGCTTGTCCGGACGATTGGGATCCCAAGCTCGACATTCCCTGCCATTTGGCTGGCTCGGACGACGTGAAGTGAGTGCCTCTTCAAAACTCATTCGAAATCGTCTACCCATCCGCTGTGAGAGAGTGTGCCTCATTGCCTTATACTTTGTCCGGCTTATCACGCGGCCATCTGTTTATTTTCACGGTACCGCTTTCAGGCGTCTCTGAGTCAATAGGCTGCCCCGAGATTTACTCGGAACACCAATGATTGTTCTTTGTTCGAGCAGTTTAACCAAGGAAAAATGCGAATCGTATCTTCCTTCAATGGGCATTCAGTCTAAAATATAAAAAAGTTGGGCCGCGTAGCAATTAAATATTTACCAAATGAATCGCTACATTTGAATTCATTCTTTAATCGCGTGTGTTGGCCTCCAAGCAAACAATCTAAAAATATATAAAAATTTAATTTTTTTTATTCCAATGAAAAATTCGTGCCTCTTCTTTTTTTTTTTTGTTTCTTTTTTACAATATTTTGCTGTTGGATGACTCGTCAATGGTGGAATGTACAACTTGATGTGAGAATTGAAGACATACCGCCAACAATAAACAAAATAAAAAAGTTTTAATTTTAATATGATTAAAGTTTTTTTTTTACTTTATTGTTTCTCTGGATGAGATTCAAATAAAATGCTAACGTGGTTTATCGCAGAACTCTCGTAGAATGAATAAACGCTTGCTATATACAAAAGCTCATTTTAAAGGGGCACTGACACCCCAAAGGTCGTATTTATTTTTATTGTCTAAAACGATGCAAGTTGCAGTCATAGACACGCAAAAAAAAACCGCATCGCGAAAAAAAATTTTCCCGCTCGCGCGCGCGCCTTTTTATTTTCGGCGTTTGATTTTCCCGCCTCTCGCCTCCTCGCTTCTTTTGATCGGTGACGTCAAAAATCAGGAAATTTAGAAGCTTTGTAGGCGACATCTCTAGAACATTTAATTACGGCAATCCTAAAACATGTTTTTTAACGCAATTGCGAACGCACTACGGCCCTTCTTTTTGAAATACCAAAAATCGGGAGTTCGTTGTGGTGTCGTCTCCTGGATTTGTATCCTCCAACGGAAAACAGGCGACACCGCTCAAAACCGGTCCGCGCCGCCGCTCACTCCTTTCCTCCTCGCTTTGGGTCGCCATGGCAACAGCAGGGAGTGGTGAAAGGAAGTCGACTCTCAGGTCTCCTCAATTTCTGACGTCAAGGCACCGGCGCCGATCGCGCGGGAACTTCGAATTCGGCATTTGGAAATTGTTTTTTTACTTCACGAATACTGAATTCCCAAATCTCAAATTTTGTGGGTAATGTCCCGGCATCGTTTTCAATCGTTTCGGATAATAAAAAAAAATATGATTTTGATGTGTCAGTGCCCCTTTAACGTTCTCTTTGTCCCCTTTACGAGAGCCCAATGGGTTGTTAAAACTGGTAACCGATTAAAGCAATAATAAATAAATTTATACCTATGTCAGACGCGCTAATTTAGTGCACTTTAGCCGACTGCACTGTAGCTTACCGAATGTCACTCCAAGGGTTTCAGTGCCACATGGGAAGAAATAGTGGCACTCGGAAATGATGGCAGTAACGATGGGCAAAGTACTATTAGTAGGCGCGTAAAATGTTAAAGAAAGGCATAAATATCTCGGCAATGTTTTGTCTATTTAACAAAGACACGCTACAAAACAAAGTTACATTATTGAACGGTTTTTACGCCAATTCGATGATTCTGATTGATCATCGCAACTCGCAAGCCAAAATAAAGAAGAAGATCCTGCCTTGGCGTTCCGTTTCGTCCCACAGAAGTCTTCCAGGAGGCCCTGACACTGCCATATTAGAATCATGATTATCCTGTTGTCTTGTACAATTACATGCAGAAGCAATTCTAACCAAGAAATCATCCGAATGACTGACTTTTTCGTCGTCTTTTATCGATTCACCGCGGCGCTAATCTTGGTACAGATTGTAAGGTTAAGTTCACTTCACTTTTTTTTTGCAATATCACTCCTTGCTGTCCTTCCACGAATTTCTCATTCGGTATAGAATAAATTTTACTACATGTTTTTGGTTCTTGTGTTATGTTGAAAGGCTTCTATCGAGGCCACACACTCGATCGAGTAAAACGAGTTCGTCAAACTCACTTAAAGCCGAGGACGCTCTTCAGGAAGAAGTCGCACGCAAACTACAAAATTGGCACTAAAAACGAAGTGCGTTTAATTGAAGTGCACTACATTCTGCCAGAGATATTAAGGGTTAAAGTATAATTTTTCCAAGCCGTAAAAATGGCGTCCGCCCCTAATGCCACTGAGACAGCGTTGCCATATCAGCATGATCTCGATTGTCACAACGGATAAGAGGAACACTTATGAAGGATGTGGGCGATGGTGCGCTTTTGACGCTGTCTGATTGGTTCCACCCTGTCGTGGCGTCGGCTGCGTCTGGACTTAAATTCAAACGAAGTATAGCATAGCTGTAAGACAGACGCGACAGAGCAGAACAATTGGGACTCCCTCCCGCGTGCCAAAGTCTCAACCCTTTCCGCCAGTGGGTCTGGTGTTGGGGTGACGCCGACAAGGCTTGACCAGTTGAAAATTGGGGACTCCCTGGCCCGGGGGGAGGAGGCGGGAAGTGATTTTAGGTATTTTGCCCGATACCCTGATTGTCTTTCTGGCGATCACACCCACGGCCTGGTGACAGTTACAGAACTACATTGCCTCAGAAGGGCGACGGAGGAACCGTATTTTCTTTGTTTAGTTTTTAGACTGTGTGACGCAAGTTACCACCCGTTATAAAGAACATAGCCTTTAATATTCATCTATCTATTTCATCGTACATCTACAGGTTACATGTCAAGACCCACGACAAGCTCGTGGATGGGTATGCCTACAACGCCATTGGTATGATCATGGGTGGCGTCGAACCAGGTGACTGAGCCAACCGAAAAAGAAAAACCTGTCGCTTAGTGACTGAACCCGACAAGAACTTGAAAAGAATACAAACACACACACACACAAACACATACACACACACACACATTATGGCTGTTTTCTGCTATAGTGTGTCAGGGACGTGGGTTCTCGTCAAGCTGCAAGCTGCAAGGTATGGTTTAAAAATTAATCTCTTGGAATACCTAAAGTTGCAACCGCGCCAACAAAACTCAGCTTCACCAAAAAAAGGTAGTTTACACTCATACGAATAACTTGCAAAAAAGCTTCCTGTAAATCTCAAGGTTGCAGCTGCTGTTTCGCTAATAGACTAAAGGCCCGTTCACAAACTTGCGGTTGCTTACGACCAAGCCCTTGTAGTCTTTTGCGACTAGAGAACGCACTGCACGCCGGTGCCACCTATGATGTTCTCCTGGAACCACATTTCACTAGAGGGAAGGATTTGCACTATTTTCGGGATCGAATGAACGTACTATGCATGAGAAACGGTCGTTTAAAACATTTTCAGAAGTTTTTTCAGGTCAATAATAAGAGAATAGTGCGCGAAGAAAGAGGAAATATACAGTAACTGCAAGTATTCCATGCACCCAATTTGATGGCATCAGTGTGTCCTCCCGTTGTAAGAGATCACAAGAAACACGGTAGTGAGCAGTTGCAAGTCTTTGAACCAGACGTAATGTCCAAAGAAACTTATTGGAAGCTTCAATGTTGCAGCTGGCGTTTTACTCTGAAACTTGACGTCTTCAGGCTGGTAGCAATGACTGAAACATAAATCTTCTGGAAGCCACATACTTGCAGTTAACGTATCGCCAAGAGACTTGGCTTTTTAATGGACGAAGTCGAAGTATCTCAGAAGAACTTGAAAACCCACATCCTGGAAGCTTCAGAGTGGTAACCATCGCTGAGTTAAGACCATCGACTGCCTTAGTTTATTTGTTTGGACCAGCCTATTGAAAACGTTCGATGAAGTGTGCAATCTCTTAAAAGGACTTTCACTTAGGTGAGGTCTGGGTTTTCCTGCCCCGACAGACCGCTACGTACTGATGGGTAGCCACATGAGCTGGCAAAGCCGGGGCGACGCAAATCCGCTCTTGGCACTCAGCCAGCTGGTGGTCCAGGGCAAGACGTTCGCCAACCTGCATAAGCGTGGCTGGAAGCCCCGGCGGACCATGGTGTTCGCGCTGTGGGACGGGGATGCCGACAGCCTTCTGGGCTCCACCGAGTGGGTCGAAGATAAGATGAGGCTTCTGCAGCAAGGTGCCATCATCTACATAGCCAACGACCTCATCACAGGTTTGTTGAGGAGCATCAGAATGGGTCGCGGGACGGAGGCTGGCGGTGGGAAATCGAATGTTGTGACCTGGGTCTCAGACAAGTGCAAGTCGTACGTTCATGTCAACCTGTCGAGGTCAATCTATCGCCATGCCCAAAGCCTTTCGAATTCTCACAGATAATAAACATTTGAAACAATCACAGTTTGCTACCCTATCTAAAAACCCAATATAACGTTTCGCTATCTGGATTATGAAACTGAAAATCTTATTGGATTCTTTCTGGATTTGAGGTTCTCAGAAATTATTCATTTGTCTGGAATCTAGATTTCAGGTTTCTATTAACAATTCGAGTCACATTTCTTGTTCCATATTTCAGATAGCGAAAAGCTACATTGGGTTTTGGGTTAAGCACTTTACGGAACGAATTACAGGTCGACAATGTAGCACATTTAAAATATTTCGTGATGGTGCATTGTCTCACTTATATTTCCTGCCAAGGAAACGCCTGGTGAACGTTCCAATCGCAGTCCTTTCTTATGACAATATTGAGAGTATCAAAAACCAACACAACCTTAGAAAGCCGCAGTGCTGAATTTTATACGTTTACGCCAGTGTTCGGCAAGAACCCTTTTTCAGTCAGTCAGAAAACAAGCCCCTGCATGAGACCCGCGTTGTATTTCAGCAGGGGACGTATAATATTCAGCACCCCGACTATTCAGATGCTGTTTCGTAAAGTAAATCCATAGATACAAGGTGAAAAAAGCTAAGTGGGTGCTGCCCCCCCCCCCCCCCCCCCATTGTGTCCATAAATTCATAAATTCAGTTGACAGGTAAAAATTTCTCAAACATATGTTTTAGGCTGTGGGAAAAGGACGTTCAAACAGCAGAAGAATAAAAGGGAGCTCTTGTGTGATGTTATTCAAACTGTGAACTACTTGGACGGTATTATTTTCAGCTATATATCACCTGATAAAATAGAACTTTATCCACACTAAGGTATGGCTATCGCAAACGCTGGCGATGCCTTAGAGTGGATAAACTTCACCTGGTTCAAATAACCTTTTTTTTTCTACGCATTTTACTTAGCAATAGGTTGCAGGCTCCCAGCCTTAGACTTCTTGATGCTCTACAATAGTGAAAGTCTGCTTCGATCGGACGGTCATATCAAAGATATTCAAGCTGGAGAACGCCACCCGACAAAACACAGCTCTGTTTCGACACATTTCATAATTAATGGTTGCCAGTTTTGTTTGAACTGGCAAGCTTTTCTTCGACGTATGATCAGATTTGTAATCCGTTTCATATCTAGCTAAAAATATTTTCCCAATTAAGTTAGTTATTTTATGCTCAATGCTCTTTGTACAAAACGATCGTTTGCACAACGGGATCTAATATATGACGTGCTGTGAATCACTCGATGTTTACGAAGCAGTAAGCTTCCTTTATTCTGAGCTAAATGGAGCCTTGGGCATTGATTACCATTCCAAATTGCATAAGAGTGTCTAAATTGCCACACCTCACTGAGAAAGAACGTCATGATTTTGAAGTTGTAAAAAAACGTAGTATTCGGAAGCGCGTCGGAAACTAGTTTTGCTGGTTCACATGACTGTAGTCCTTTGAGTGCTTATTCCAACCGGAAAAAGTTGTCACCGTAGACATGTATTTTCTTTGCCAAGTAATTGTATGAATTTTTTTTCTTCTTTTTAACTGCAAGATTTTTTAATATTTTGTTCTTGATAGATGAGCACCAAAAACTACTCTTCATTGCGCGTTACGGAAGAGGCGCCTTCATTTCAAAGCTTTATGTGGTGGTTTATCTTGTTGAAAAGGTTTGAAAATTGGACCCACATAGGTATACACGCTACTATAGGCTACTATAGGCTTTCTTTGTGTGTACAACTTCAAAAGCATGTTGTTTTTTGTCGGTGAGGTGTGCCAACTTAGTCACTCTTATGTACGTTGAAATGATGATCAATTCCCAAGGCTCTCGCGGGGAGGGAAATACGCATTTGCCCTATTTTATTCTTGTGTATCTTGCCTTATAAAAATAGGTTATAAGATTTATTTTATCAGGGGTACTTAGGAAGGACCATGTGCTTTTTCTTTTTACAGCGGAGCTGTTAAGGGCTAGTTTCCCCAGTTTCGTGTCCGTGGACAAATAAATCTTTATACAAAACTCTGGACAGCTACCGCCATCTATGAGCGACAGTGGCAACAAGACAACCGGCTTGCCGGTTGTTTGGTTGCCACTGTCGCTCATAGATGGCGGCAACCCTTCCAGCCTTTCCACCCTGGTTTTCACCAGAGTAAAAAGGCTGAATTTCTGTAGGCGTCGTCCTAAAAGTAGTCCTTGAAGACGATGCTTAGAGGACGACGTCTTCTAGGCGCCGTTTCGATGTAGACCTAGAAGTCGTCGTTGTGGTCGTCCTAGGCGTTTTCCTTGAGGTCGTCCTTGAGGTCGTCCTCAAGGTGGTCCTCGAAGTTGTCCTAGAAGTCATTCTTAAAGTCGTCCTAAACGTCGTCCTCGAGGTCGTCCTAAAAATGTTCATTGAGGTCGTCGTAGACGTTGTCATCGAGGTAGTCATAGACGAGTCGTACCTGACGTCGTTTTAGGTGTCGTCCTTGAGGTCACCCTAGACGCCGTCCCTGAGGTCGTCCTAGGCGTCGTCCTCAAGGTCATCCCAGAAGTCGTCCTAGAGGTCTTCCTAGGCGTCGCCCTTGAGGTCGTCCCACTATAATACAGCTCCTATGGTCTTCCTCCTTCACCTAAGTGGAAAGGCTGCTTTTTTTTTTTTTTGTATGTGGCACATAGTTATTTGCTTGCTTCAGGCGGATATTCAAAGAGAAAAAATTCATATTTTATAAGAATAAAAAAATTCAGAGTGTGTTCTTTTTTATAAGAAAGACCGCCATCCCGCTTTAATTAGTGATGGGCCGAATCAGCCAAAGTTCGGATCGGGCAAAATTCGGCACTTGCTAAACTTTTGAAGGAAAGTACGGTTAAGATTCGGTAAAGGTTCGGTAGACTTCTGTGCGCGCCAACTAACTGCAATACCGGCAACATAGGCTAGCGGCTACAGCACAAACGTTATGGTAGATAACCAGAGACGGACGACAAGGACGACGGTCAACGATGCTTCAGCACAGTTATTACGCATCCCAAAGCGGCGGTAGTGAAAGCACAATTTTGCAACAAAGTACGCTGGTGGGGTCGTTGTCTGTTTCTTTGCCAATAGCTAAATATAAAGTAGGCTGTGCACTGGAGCAAGGGACAAACGGGCAGGGCTGTTAAGTGAAATAATAGTATACTGGCTTAAACAATACGGTTGAAAACATGATCAACACATGTAGAACTGGTGAAGTGTACTAAACTCATATCTTTACGTTCTAATTGCAATATAAGCTGTTGATATCCCTAAGAATAACGCACTTTTCTTGTGATACTATGAGACGGTTTCAACGTTGACAAATGAATATGCTCAAGGGTTAGGGCACTCTTGTAAAAGACTCAAATAAAAAAAAAGGCACTCATTCTCGCACGTCCGAAACTTCTAAGTGCCGCGTTCTTCAAGAGTTTACAAGCTATCACCACGTGCAAACCTGGCGCAACATCAAAACGCTTGGACAATAATTGTGTGACTTCTGGTGGAGGCTCAGCAGGCGGATTCATTGCGACACGCAGGAAAAGAAAGTCTTCATGATACTCGCCAGAATTACCGCCCCAAACGCCCATACTTGCGGAATAGCATCCATAAAGTTCCAAAACATAAACTAAACCAGTTACCCAGGCGTACATAGAATCAGCGCGTACCTGCGCGTACCATGACTAAAGTAATTGTAATATTTGTAAATAAACAGAAAAAAAAATGTCACCATTAAACTTTTACTTTTAAAATATCACGTTATTTGGCAATAACTAGGTCAACGTTTGCTTAGTCCGTCCTACTTAAAAAATGTGTTTTTTCTAAATGAAACAAAAATAAGTAGGTCATTCTGACAACCCTGCGTTTTGGCGGGATCTACGGAATTTTCATAAAAGTTCGCAAAATATTCGGCTGTGCCGAATCTCAGCAGTTTGGCCTACCACTACTTTTAAGGGTGGAAATTCTTAGGGTGACGGTTCATGTTTAGAATGTAGGAATCTCATAGGCCTGTTCCTTGAGCTCGAGATGTTTTCTCCAGGGCCCGTGTTCAAGCCCCAAGCGTCACCCTCGCTTTCCAGGGCACTGCGGCACGTTACCCAGTTGGTGAGCTTGTTCAAGCAACCTCGTATGCTTATTGGGTCGAGTACGCGTGCCTTATTGACAAAGACGAACGAAACAAAACAAAACAAAAACTTCGTCTGCATATCACTAAAATAGTAATAAAACCCTTCGTCTGTGAAGGCGCTTCGGGCGATAAAATGCACCAAAAAAATGGGAATCTGCAATCGCAGCAAAAAAAGTGTTGAACTTTTTTTTTTTTTCTTTCAGCCGAAATAGTCCTTGCGTCAACTTTTGTCAGAGTGCAGCAGAAGTTGGTAGGAGAAATGAAGCAGCACCAAAAACGCACTGTCACTAAGTGTGTCGTCTTGCTTTGCATGTTTCATCACCTGCTGATTTAATGAACACGGAGAGCATATCTGTGCGCTTCTGTTTGTGTGTATATCTTAAGTATTTTATTGTCCTCTGCCTTATGCTGAAACAAAGTATAGAAAAAGAAACTACTGCGACCCACGGAGATATTACAGCAAATGGCAGGGCCGACAATGTTCTGACGGGAAAACAAATTAAGCGAGCGATGTGAGACTCAGTATTGAGCTCCACATGCTCACGTCATGCTCAGCGTGGCATAGCAGACTTTGTTTCTATTGTTTAACATATTATTTCCGCTTTATCATTTGCTGAGGTCCCTACATTGCAAAATGGCTCTCCGAGTGATGTGCGGGGAAGCACACGCAAGGACAGTTTTAGGGTTGTATGAATGTGAACAGTCCCTATCTAGAGCTCGGCAGAGAAGCCGCATCGTCGTTTGCAGGTGCGGCCTTCCACTGCGCTGGAGCCTACATCTCATTGATTTGCACTTGTTAATATTGAGTTCCGTTTGCCATTTATCACACCAACGAGAAATACTGTCAAGGTCAGACTGGAGTGCAAGAACGTCAAAATCGTTAGTTACTTCAGAATAGATGACACAATCGTCTGCGAAAAGACCAACTGAGGATGAGATATGCGAAGGAAGGTCATTAATATATATTAACAACAAAAGAGGGCCGAGTACTGAACCCTGGGGGACACCAGAAGTCACAGGAGAGGGGTACGAGTTAATGCCATTAACATGAACAAATTGAGAACGGTTAGTTAAAAAGGCGTTGATCCAAGTCAAAACGTGAGAGTCAATGTTCAGTTTACTGAGTCTATACAAAAGGA